AGCTGGCATTTCTTCTCTTGGATAAGTGAATGTCAGTGTACAGTCGTCTGCATATGCATGTGATTCTGGGATGAGACGAAGAAGGTCGTTGAAGTAGACATTCCATAACAATGGACCCAGCACGCTTCCTTGGGGAAAACACTTGCCCCAATAGGATGTCTTGCTGATTCCATTCCATTGAGAACTACACTTAGAGATCTACCATGAAGGTAATCACTGAGGAGACATAGCGTAGAGCCTGCAATTCCCAGTGCTTGAAGTTTTGCTAAGAAGCCCTGGTGCCACACCCGGTCGAAAGCGCCAGCAATGTCCAGTGCTACCACACAGCTGACTTTGGATTCATCCAGTGACTGGTGCCACTTAGTGGAAAGGTTTAACAACAGATCAGCAGCAGAGTAACCTTTCCTGAAGCCATATTGACGATCACAAAGTAGTGAGTGGTAGTCAAAAAACTCTCTCTCTCTCTCTCTCTCTCTCTCTCTCTCTCTCTCTCTCTCTCTCTCTCTCTCTCTCTCTCTCTCTCTCTCCTCTCTCTCTCTCTCTCTCTCTCTCTCTCTCTCTCCTCTCTCTCTCTCTCTCTCTGTCTCTCTCTCTCTCTCTCTCTCTCTCTCCTCTCTATCTCTCTCTCTCTCTCTGTCTCTCTCTCTCTCTCTCTCTCTCTCTCTCTCTCTCTCTCTCTCTCTCTCTCTCTCTCTCTCTCTCTCTCTCTCTCTCTCTCTCTCTCTCTCTCTCTCTCTCTCTCTGTCTCTCTCTCTCTGTCTGTCTGTCTCTCTCTCTCTCTCTCCTCTCTCTCTCCTCTCTTCTCTCTCTCTCCTCCTCTCTCTCTTCTCTCTCTCACTCTCTCTCCTCTCTCTCTCTCCTCTCTCTCTCTCTCTCTCTCTCACTCTCTCTCTCTCTCTCTCTTTCTCCCTCAACAAAATTAGGTGATGTGATATTTTATGAAAACCTTAATTTGTTCTCCTTTCTTTTCCATCCCTTCAGCCCCCTCCCTCCCACCTCCCTCCCACCTCCCTCCCACCTCCCTCCCACCTCCCTCCCACCCTCCATCCCTCCCTCCATCGCCCCCTCCCTTCCTTTTCCTCCCTCCCCTTCCCCACGCCATCCCTTATTAAAATTCTTCTCAGAAATCTGGCGTTCGTTCTCTTATTAGTGTCCCTCGTACTTGCCCCTCCCTCCTCCACCCCCTCCCTACCTCAACCCCCTCCCTACCTCCACCCCCTCCCTACCTCAACCCCCTCCCCCTCTATCCCTTCAAACAACCCCTCTCGTCTCCATCCCTTCAAAAATCTTTCCTTCCCTTTAAACACTCCCTCCTCTCCAAACTCTCCCTCCTTCTCTCCAAACACAAAACACTATCCTAGTGTAAATGATTTATAATATTAAACTATCCTATATTAAATTATTTACAACGTATTATTATCATATAATGATTTACAACATTAAAGTATCCTGTAGTAAATAATTTACAACATCAGACTGTCTCATATTGGGTTGCAACATCAAACTATCTTACAGTAAATGATTTACGTTGTTTTACCGACTCGTATAACCTGGTTGACCAAGCCAGATCAACCCTGGAAACCAGTCGCAGGTACATCAGCCTGTGGTTGTAGGTTGTACCACAAGTGTGTTTGTGGTGCAGTGCCATGGACTTTCAGGTTGTACCACAAGGTTAGGTTAGGTAATGTTTGTTAGGAAACAGGACAAGTGTTTCCTAACACAAGGTTAGGTTAGGTAATGTTTGTTAGGAAACAGGACAAGTGTTTCCTAACGCGGGTCTTATGTCTTAGTTTTATGATGACCCGCCACCAGAGCTTTTGGTCACCTGACCGAGGCCTTTCACTGGCTTACCCCTCCACCCCTTTAAACGTTATCGTTATAATTATAACCATTTCATTATCTTAGTGGTACTGTGCCAAATAGTTTCTTGTAGTCTACGACAAGACAAGTTGCCTTGTCTCTCTCCTCTCGCTTGATCTCTGGCAGCGTCTTAGTGATGCGTCACATGTTGAAATTTCGTTCTGGCTAATGAGAGACAGCTTGTACAGTGCTGCTGCTGCTTCTTTCAGTATTCATGACCTCTTTCTTCCCCTCTCTCTCTATCTCTCTCTCTCTCTCTCTCTCTCTCTCTCTCTCTCTCTCTCTCTCTCTCTCTCTCTCTCTCTCTCTCTCCTCTCTCTCTCTCTCTCTCTCTCTCTCTCTCTCTCTCTCTCTCTCTCTCTCTCTCTCTCTCTCTCCTCTGGAGAATAAGACAAATTAACTAAAAAGTACTATTTTGCAGCAAATTCACCCCAATGAGCTAGTTACTGAGAGGATACAAACACACACACAACACACACACACACGTATATGAATGGTCAAATATTCACTAAAACACATATTATTGTTGCTGGTAACGAGGCACTGTTCCTGTATTAACAGTATACCAGTTTTCTGCTATAGCGGATTCTCGTCGTTCGTTAATTTTAACGAACCCGTATATATATATATATATATATATATATATATATATATATATATAATATAATTATATATATATATATATATATATATATATATACATATATACGCTATATGTGTGAGATGTTCGCTGGGAGGCGTTGTGGAGGCTTGATCCTGCGTCTAAAAGCACGGAGCAGTGGTATGAATTTGACAGTCAGTCTCGCCCATATATCAGGGTAGAGAGAAAAAATAAGAAAATGATAAAAATAAGAGCAAAGAGGAGATAATAGTCACGTGAGAGGAAGAAAGGGTCTTAGAGATGGCTGAGGGGAAGTGAAATGAACGAGGGGGAGGGGAAATATTGGTGAGAGGGAGGAGAGATAAGGAATAGTGAGAGAGAGCAAGAGACGGAGAGAGATAGCAGAAATGAGCGTTAATGAGTGAGAATGACAGGAGGGAATAGGTTGTATGGGACAGTGTAGAAGACTGTAAAACTGATAAAGGTTGGCAGCACAAGCCAAAGGAACAACAGATTGTGGGAAAAGGCACAACAGATAGCAGATAGGGACATGAAAAGGCAACAGAGGGGAGCAGGAAAGGGCCAAGAGGGAGAGAATAGAAAGCAAAAGAGCAAATAAAAAAAATTATTAAAGCGGTGTAGAAATAGTAGATGTGGAGCAGAAGAGACGTGGGAAAGACGAGAAGATAGGAAAGAAGGGAAAGAGAAAGTCGATGTATTCCTGTCTGTGTATACACAAAAATACATACACATCGGTGTATATACATAGATAGACATACCTCAGATGCACAGTTATTGGTCTGTATGTCTGTATACACAAAGATGCATAACTGGCGATGTATATAGACACACATGTCAGTGTATATCCATAGATATACATCCATATCGGCACATATACACACACACAGAGGCGTGGCCAGGAGCCGTAAACCGACCAGTCGACCTCTACAACCACAAATAGGTGAGTATACACATATACAATATATATACACACACACACACACACACACATATATATATATATATAATATATATATATATATATATATATATATAATATATATATATATATATATATATATATATATATTATGTATATATATATATATATATATATATTATATATATATATATATATATATAATATAATATATATATATATATATATATATATATATATATATATATATATATATATATATATATATATATATATATATATATATATATAATATATATATATATATATATATATATATATATATATATATATATATATATATAATATATATATATATATATATATATATATAATATATATATATATATATATATATATATATATATTATATATATATCACAGTACAGTATTCCCTCTTGTTGTCACCTGAGTGAGTGACGTCATGATCAGCTGGTATTGTTTACAAACAATATTGCTACCACGAGGTCACTGAGATTTCATCACGACACAAGCAGAGTGTTATTGTTGCTCCAGTGATAACTCCTGCTAATTGATATCCCTCTGTCATCTTTAATCCCTTTCAGTCGAGCTCACGATAGTATTGAATGCGCTCAGCTTTGCTCATTAATTTGTTGGGGGCATTTGCATGCCTAATTAAGCTTGAGATAGAGCTTTCATTTAAAGCTAATGATTTGGTATTGAAGTTTGTTAGAGTGCACGATTTCGCATATGGCTGGCTGTTTATGTGTCATACAGAGCCATGTTTGCGTAGTGTATGTATACCGAGAGACGTGTATAGCTGGATGTACACCGAGAGGTGCGTAAATCTCTAAATATGCAACAAGATGTGCGTATCTGTGAATATACAGCAAGAGGTGTGTATATCTGTGTATATACACACGGAGGTGTATATACCTGTATATATATACTCCGAGAGGTGTACCTTCACACACCTCCCACACACCTGACCTCCCACACACCTGACCTCCCACACGTGTCCTCCATCAGAAAACTTAAGGATGTAGTTAAGTGGACATGAAGCCCCAGGTCATTAAGGTGCAAACAAGGTCGCTCATTATTTTATTGCTGGCACTCTCTGGCACTTCAACTCCCTCTCAACAGTGGCACCCCTCACTCCTCCCTTAACAGTGGCACTCTTCGCTCCTCCCTTAACAGTGGCACTGTTCATACCTCCCTTAACAGTGGCAGTCTTCATTCCTCCCTTAACAGTGGCACTCTTCATTCCTCCCTTAACAGTGGCACTCTTCATTCCTTCCTTAACAGTGGCACTCTTCATACCTCCCTTAACAGTAGCACTCTTCATACCTCCCTTAACAGTAGCACTCTTCATTCCCCCCTTAACAGTGGCACTCTTAATTCCCCCATAACAGTGGCACTCTTCATTCCTCCCTTAACAATGGCACTCCTCAGGCACCCCTGTGCAGGGTCACTTCAACCCCGTCACACACACACACACACACCCATCTTGGTGTACATATCTTGTGATATAGACTCAAATTAAGTTGTAATAAACAGCTGTCACTGTACAGTAGTACACATGTGGACATGTACACTTACCTCAGCAACTACTGCCTGGCCAGCTAGTCGACCTCTCTGGCCTCCCGTGTACAACACCATCCCTGAGAAGTGTACATAAGAGTTAGTACCCTGCAGTGTATATTAATTTTTTACAAAAAAACGTCGAAAGCGTCAGGATCATTACACACTGTTGCGTTTGTACAGATGTACATCTCGTATTACATTTGTTTTAAGCTTGTTTCGTTTATGAGGTTTGAAGCCTATCTACTGAAGAGGGTCATCAAGACTTCATGTCACGTAAACAACACCAGTTAATAATACTTTAAAATGTTAAATAGTAAAGTCTCACAATATATACACTGAGAATTATACACCGAGAGGTGTATATATCTCAGTGTATATATCAGTGTATTTACACAGAGTATAAATCTGCAGTGTGTGTGTGATATTGGTGTTAAATAAAAAATATAACAATGTTATAGAAGCTGAGATATTAACATATAATGACTGAGATTAACATTGTTATAATGACTGAGATTAACATTGTTATAATGACTGAGATTAACATTGTTATAATGACTGAGATTAACATTGTTATAATGACTGAGATATTAACATATAGTGACTGAGATATTAACATTGTTATAATGACTGAGATATTAACATTGTTATAATGACTGAGATATTAACATATAGTGACTGAGATATTAACATATTGTGACTAAGATATTAACATTGTTATAATGACTGAGATATTAACATTGTTATAATGACTGAGATATTAACATTGTTATAATGACTGAGATATTAACATTGTTATAATGACTGAGATATTAACATTGTTATAATGACTGAGATATTAACATATAGTGACTGAGATATTAACATATTGTGACTGAGATATTAACATTGTTATAATGACTGAGATATTAACATATAGTGACTGAGATATTAACATATTGTGGCTGAGATATTAACATTGTTATAATGACTGAGATATTAACATATAGTGACTGAGATATTAACATATTGTGACTGAGATATTAACATTGTTATAATGACTGAGATATTAACATATTGTGACTAAGATATTAACATTGTTATAATGACTGAGATATTAACATATAGTGACTGAGATATTAACATATTGTGACTGAGATATTAACATTGTTATAATGATTGAGGTATTAACACTGGAAGGTTTATTAATGTTAAATGTTGGGCAGATACCAGCATTGAATTTCTCTGGTTGCTGCTTTCTGAAAACTTGTTGTTGTTCTTGTTGCTGTTGCTGCTGTTGTTGTTGCTGGTGCTGTTGTTGCCGTTGTTCTTGTTGCTGTTGCTGCTGTTATTCTTGTTGTTGCTGCTGTTGTTCTTGTTGCTATTGCTCCGGCTGTTGTTGTCGCTCCTGTTGCTGTTGTTGCTTCTCCTGTTGTTGCTGCTGTTGCTTAACACAAGCTCAGGAACAGCGGCCGGAATTCCATTTAAACAGTGTTGCTGTAGCTGTTGTAGCAGCTGCTGTTACTGTAGCTGTTGTAGCAGCTGCTGTTACTGTAGCTGTTGTAGCAGCTGCTGTTACTGTAGCTGTTGTAGCAGCTGCTGTTACTGTAGCTGCTGTTACTGTAGCTGTTGTAGCAGCTGCTGTTACTGTAGCTGTTGTAGCAGCTGCTGTTACTGTAGCTGTTGTAGCAGCTGCTGTTACTGTAGCTGCTGTTACTGTAGCTGTTGTAGCAGCTGCTGTTACTGTAGCTGTTACTGTAGCTATTGTAGCAGCTGCTGTTACTGTAGCTGTTACTGTAGCTGTTGTAGCAGCTGCTGTTACTGTAGCTGTTGTAGCAGCTGCTGTTACTGTAGCTGTTGTAGCAGCTGCTGTTACTGTAGCTGTTGTAGCAGCTGCTGTTACTGTAGCTGTTGTAGCAGCTGCTGTTGCTGTAGCTGTTGTAGCAGCTGCTGTTGCTGTAGCTGTTGTAGCAGCTGCTGTTACTGTAGCTGTTGTAGCAGCTGCTGTTACTGTAGCTGTTGTAGCAGCTGCTGTTACTGTAGCTGTTGTAGCAGCTGCTGTTGCTGTAGCTGTTGTAGCAGCTGCTGTTGCTGTAGCTGTTGTAGCAGCTGCTGTTGCTGTAGCTGTTGTAGCAGCTGCTGTTACTGTAGCTGTTGTAGCAGCTGCTGTTACTGTAGCTGTTGTAGCAGCTGCTGTTACTGTAGCTGTTGTAGCAGCTGCTGTTACTGTAGCTGTTGTAGCAGCTGCTGTTGCTGTAGCTGTTGTAGCAGCTGCTGTTGCTGTAGCTGTTGTAGCAGCTGCTGTTACTGTAGCTGTTGTAGCAGCTGCTGTTACTGTAGCTGTTGTAGCAGCTGCTGTTACTATAGCTGTTGTAGCAGCTGCTGTTACTGTAGCTGTTGTAGCAGCTGCTGTTACTGTAGCTGTTGTAGCAGCTGCTGTTACTGTAGCTGTTGTAGCAGCTGCTGTTACTGTAGCTGTTGTAGCAGCTGCTGTTACTGTAGCTGTTGTAGCAGCTGCTGTTACTGTAGCTGTTGTAGCAGCTGCTGTTACTGTAGCTGTTGTAGCAGCTGCTGTTACTGTAGCTGTTGTAGCAGCTGCTGTTTGCGTGTATGCTGTTTGTAGCTAGCAGCTGCTGTTACTGTAGCTGTTGTAGCAGCTGCTGTTACTGTAGCTGTTGTAGCAGCTGCTGTTACTGTAGCTGTTGTAGCAGCTGCTGTTACTGTAGCTGTTTTGTAGCAGCTGCTGTTACTTAGCTGTTGTAGCAGCTGCTGTTACTGTAGCTGTTGTAGCAGCTGCTGTTACTGTAGCTGTTGTAGCAGCTGCTGTTACTGTAGCTGTTGTAGCAGCTGCTGTTACTGTAGCTGTTGTAGCAGCTGCTGTTACTGTAGCTGTTGTAGCAGCTGCTGTTACTGTAGCTGTTGTAGCAGCTGCTGTTACTGTAGCTGTTGTAGCAGCTGCTGTTACTGTAGCTGTTGTAGCAGCTGCTGTTGCTGTAGCTGTTGTAGCAGCTGCTGTTGCTGTAGCTGTTGTAGCAGCTGCTGTTACTGTAGCTGTTGTAGCAGCTGCTGTTGCTGTAGCTGTTGTAGCAGCTGCTGTTGCTGTAGCTGTTGTAGCAGCTGCTGTTACTGTAGCTGTTGTAGCAGCTGCTGTTGCTGTAGCTGTTGTAGCACTGCTGTTCTGTAGCTGTTGTAGCAGCTGCTGTTACTGTAGCTGTTGTAGCAGCTGCTGTTTACTGTAGCTGTTGTAGCAGCTGCTGTTACTGTAGCTGTTGTAGCAGCTGCTGTTACTGTAGCTGTTGTAGCAGCTGCTGTTACTGTAGCTGTTGTAGCAGCTGCTGTTACTGTAGCTGTTGTAGCAGCTGCTGTTACTGTAGCTGTTGTAGCAGCTGCTGTTACTGTAGCTGTTGTAGCAGCTGCTGTTACTGTAGCTGCTGTTACTGTAGCTGTTGTAGCAGCTGCTGTTGCTGCTGCTTAACACAAGCTCAGGAACAGCGGCCGGAATTCCATTTAAGCAGTGTTTGTAATATTAATGTTGACTGGAATTCATTTTTTCTCTTAGTCGCTCTTAAGAAAAATTCCTCTGTCACTCCTTTGTATAACCTTGAGTGTATAAGACGCGGTGTATGCATACACCTTGCTCGGGTATACATCTGAGACGCGGTGTATGCATACACCTTGCTCGGGTATACATCTGAGACGCGGTGTATGCATACACCTTGCTCGGGTATACATCTGAGACGCGGTGTATGCATACACCTTGCTCGGGATACATCTGAGACGCGGTGTATGCATACACCTTGCTCGGGTATACATCTGAGACGCGGTTTTATGCATACCCCTTGCTCGGGTATACATCTGAGACGCGGTGTATGCATACACCTTGCCGGGTATACATCTGAGACGCGGTGTATGCATACACCTTGCTCGGGTATACATCTGAGACGCGGTGTATGCATACACCTTGCTTGGGTATACATCTGAGACGCGGTGTATGCATACACCTTGCTTGGGTATAAATGTATACATGTAGCATACTAAAGTATACATGTATGACGTCAATATACCCTCCCATTTTTTTTATTCGCGTTAACATTTGCGGGAAAATTTAACATTGACGGAGGGAAACATTCGCGTTTAGCGTTACTTTGAACATTGCCAATATTTTTCAATCAAAAAAAAATTATCGTTTTTTTTTTGAGATTTTTGGGTATTTTTTTTTTTAAATAATTTCAAATTCTTCACTGAAATGAATTTTTGTTGCTAAAAGGTATTGATGTAGGGGAGAATTTTTATTACCATTTTAATAGGTTAAAAATTCTCTCTCTCTCTCTCTCTCTCTCTCTCTCTCTCTCTACTCTCTCCTCTCTCGCTCTCTCCTCTCTCTCTCTTCTCTCTCTCTCTCTCCCCCATCCTCCTCTTCACCTCCCACCCTCCACTCACCCACTCCACCTCCACCCTCCTCCACCCCCCCACCACCCACCACACACCACCACACCACCCCCCACCACCACCACCACCACCACCACCACCACCACCACCACCACCCACCACCACCACCACCACCGCCACCGCCGCCACCCACCACCACCACCACCACCACCCACCACCAACCACCACCACCACCACCACACCACCACCACCACCACCACCACCACCACCACCACCACCCCCACCACCACCAACCACCACACCACCACCACCAACCCCACCACCACCACCACCACCCCCCCCACCACCACCATCACCACCACCACCACCACCACCACCACCACCTACCACCAACCACCACCACCACCACCACCACCACCACCCCACCACCACCACCACCACCACCCCCACCAACCACCAACCACCACCACCACCACCACCATACCACCACCACCACCACCACAAAACCCCCACCACCACCACCATCACCAACCACCACCACCACCACCACCACCCCCACCACCACACCACCACCCATCACCACCACTACCACCACACCAAACCCCCACCACCACCACCACCACTACCACCACCCACCACCACCACCCAAACCACCACCACCACACCACCACCCCACCACCACCACCACCACCACCCCCCACCACCACCACCC